TAACATGTTTCTGCCACGTTTCCGTTTACAGATTCTTGCAATTTCGTCCTGTGAACAATATAAGTCTTAACAATTCCTCCTCTGCAAATAACATTCTCATCATTTTTTTTAAATGCTGTGTATTGTTGCCCCATTAACTGGATGGGCAACTATAACTATGGCTGGCCTACTGTTTACATGTAGTAGACTTGATGCCATAATTGGATTGCGGAACTGGCTTTATCAGTTGGTTAAGTAGGCACATTTGTAATGTGAAAATCATCATGCATAACAAGTTTTTTGGTCTGAAAAAAAAATAACAACAACCATAGCAATTTGATTAATTGCTTATTTTTTTAAAAAATGTACTACTGTTTTTTTTGTTCCTTCTATTTTTTCTGCTGTACCTTTTAGCCTGTTTCCACTTTTTTTTCCACAACTTCCTTATGGGTTTTTACCTGTCGCTGATTGAACATGTCATTCATATGTATTCCAGTGCTAACAAGAAAAAAGGCAAAAAACATGAAGTTTGAGATTTGATATACTGATGATCAATGTCTGCATATGAGACTACAAACCTGGCAGGTTAGTCTTAAGATGTTGATGTCTTACTCCTATAAATCACAAAGTTGCATGTGGAGATGATCTTGAGATATTCATTATGATGTCCAAATTTCATCGGAAAGGAATTTGAGAAGTGATCAGGTGAAATATTGTCATGTTCCCTAAGAGTGTTTTAGCTTTCAGGATGAGAGCTATAAATTTCTCAAGCGATTGATGTATGATTTGTCTGCCATAAAATCAGTACAACCAAACCCCTGGCTAAAAAACTGTAAATTTCCTCAAATAAGCAGCCAAGCTTAGTGCTGATTACTGCATAACATTTTATGTTAAAGTCCCCTTTTGACTAAGTCTCATTTCTCTAAAATCTGATGAGTGTAAATCATCCATTTTTATAAAGAGATCACAGAACCACTCCACATTAGTTTAATCTGACCTTATTCAGTCTTGCTCCCAGGAAAAAAGGGAAATTGGAAATATTTTGTTTTTTATCATCACTGTTAGTATCAGCCATATGGGTAATGTTGTTGTTTGGCTTATAACAAGAGTCTGTTCAGACCACTGGATTTTCGCATAACTCTTGTAATTAAATAGGTTGGAAAATAAGGTTGCAAAGAGTGAATATTATTTTTTTGTGCAGTTGAAATGATAAATGAGTATGATTTTTATTAGGAAATAATTGATTTAACTATTTATATTTCAACTGGAACCCCAAACTAGTACTTATTTTAATTCACAATTTCCCTGCCTTATTAAACATATCAGTCCAGAGTGGTTATCGACCAAAATTGTTCAAATTAATTATGATAAAGCGTGAATCTTTGCCACAACACTTGTGACCCCAAGACTAAGATTCTCTGATATAGGGCCAATCCAAATTAACTTCTGGAGACAACAACTATGCATGTCAGAAATTTGCTAATATGGAAGCAAGGCTAATAATAAAAAAATCCTCTTAAACCACATTGCTTGGGGAAATTTGGGATGAAAGTTTTCAAATATAACCACTGAGTCATTTTCTATCCATTTTCTTATGCCATTACTGTACGTGACTATCTTCTTTGATATTTATCATATTGTTTGGGTTCCCTGTGGTTAAATGTTAAATATACCTCTTTACGTTATTTTCTAAATCACAATTGGTAAAACTTGTTTATCTGAGAAACATATAGCTTATATCTTCCTTTACTTTAGTAAAATTTACCACCTATCATAAATAAGCTGCGGTTAACAGATTTGGGATGCCTTTGATAAATTGTTCAATTACAATTCTCTGAGTGGTGCTTTTGGTGAAATTGTAAAATGTTCCCTTTTCTAACCAAACTTCAACAAATAACTGATGTAATTCCCAGTTCTTAGTCGATGTAGTATACTTGTAGTTAAATATTCATGGCAGTTTGGCAGTTGTTGCTATAGTTGCACAAATCAGTGCATGCCCCTCAGAATTAGCCTTTAAGCGCTTGCATCATCCTCAACATGAGGATCTGCATCCATGATTGAAGATTGTTTAGGATGCAGTTTTGTCAAACAATGGCCAAACTTTGTTTAAATAATCAGACCCAACTGTTTTGAAATTACCGAGAGGAACTTTTAATTATCTTCCAAAACTTGTCTCTAAATGTTCTTAACATTGGTTCATAAATAACACTGACTTAGATTTTGTTTTGTAAACTGGCAGCCCACTGATGAGACCCCAGGTCTGACTACTCTTCATCTCATGGCAATCTTTTTTAGCTACTCAAAGATAGGATTTCTTGCAATATCCTGAGCATCTGCTGTTTATAACTTGTGTATTGAACAATTGTGTGTTTGGCCAGGGTTCTTGATTGTTTTGAAGATGGCCCATGTTGATTGGATTTTCAGCAAATTTTAAACCTTTTGATGACAAGATAAAAAGTATATGACTCCTAGAGCATACATATCTTTAACCCTTTAACTCCTAAGATCTGATTGGTAATTCTCTTCTCCAGCTGCTTTAAATTTTCTCATAAATTAGTTAAAAGAATTTGGTTTTAGATCAAGATAACAACTTCTACTGATAAATTTTAGTATCATGTATTCTTA